GCAGGCAGGAGAGTGATGGAGACTCTGTGAAAATCCTTGGATATTGATGGCCTTCTTGTGCGGGCTTTCTTGAATGCTGGTTATGGTAGTAATGAACTGGTCACATGGAGAGACTCAGGACCTCCTGGTCATCCAGAGTGGTGCAGGTCATAGTGATAACTGAGATCGCACAGTCATTTTCTCCTTCCGGGATGCACTGTTAGTCTACCAGGAGATACTGTAATGGACGGTTGGTTGGCCTCCAGCTAAGAGGTCGTGCTTGCAAAAGAGCACCAGCTGCATTATTAGCGGTGGGATTTTTGCACACCTTATGTTGCCCAGGAACGGGGGCTACTATGGATTCTCAGGCAGTGGGTGTGGCCATGTAGCTTCCAAAAGATGCCATCCTTTGTGTTAAGCTGCCAGGGCAGGTGGCTGCACAAAGCAAGGTGAGGGCTGGGCCAGGTGGGTTTCTGCTCCGAGTCTCTGTGTGCAGGACAAGCAGCAGCCGCTGTGGGTGTGGGGACAGGGATGATTCTCAGGCCACTGGGGTGATGTTCCAGAGGAGAGCACGCCTGCATCTGCTGCATAGAAGTTTGGGCAGGGGGTGGGGCAGGTGGTGGTAGCCCCCACACAGTTTCCACATCCTTGGTGAGACAGAGCCACTCCCGTGTTGTTCCACTGGCAGCAGTAAGATGAGTTCCAGTCAGCCTGTGATCAATACCTGCAAATAGCAGGAGTCATAACTGTCCCCGTGGAGACTGCAGCCGTGGGTTTCATGCCATGCCCCTTCCTGCCTGCTGCAAAGTCGGGAACCAGCTCCTGCACCCATGGCTCCTGACCTTGCAGCCCACTTTTCACTCTTCCCTGCCCAGGCCCTGGCCAAGGTAGTTCATCCCTACCCGAGGTTATATTACACACCCCTGTTGAGAGCTACTTTCAACCTGCGACCACTGCCTGAAATTTTTGGCTGTTCTCCCTCAAATGCCGGGTATTCCCAGCCCTTCACCTGACTCACGGCGTACGCTGCAGCCTCCTGCTTTTTCGGAAAGTTTGTAGATTATTTCAGTGTTTCTGTTCAGCTCCTTCATTGCTTCTTGAAAGTAAGTCCACAGTGTTCATCTCTCCACGTTAGTTCGTCCTTCCAGGTGGAAGAGGGATGCTAGCAGTGCCTCTAACCTGCCATCTTGGAATATGAGTTTGATTTTTTTATTCTGGAAATTTATTGAATTCCTTCTTTAGTTTCAATCTTTTTTGGTGGAGTCTTTAAGGCTTTTATAAATAAGAGAGCATATAATATGTAAAAATATATTTCAAACGTATTCATTACTATGTGGATGACTTCTATTTTTTTCTTCTTGCCTATTTTGTCTAGATCGCCCAGTGCTGTGTTTAATAATATTGGTGATAGGGAGCGGCTTGTCTAGTTTCTAGTCTTAGAGGAAAATAAAATTTTCATCACTGAGTATAATGTTAGATGTGGGCTTGTGATATGTGTTCTCTATGATGTTGAGGTATATATCTTTTATGCATAAGTTGTTCAGATTTTTTGAAATGAAAGTAGTGGATTTCGACAGAGGCTTTTTCTACATCTGTTGACATGGACATATGGTACATATGGTTTTAGTCCTTCAATATTTTCATTTGATATATCACATTTATTTCTGCAGGTTGAAACTTCATTGCATCCTAGAGATAAACCGTACCTGACCATGGTGAATTCTATTGTTAATGTGCTGTTGAATTTTGCTTGTCATCACCCTTGAGAGTTTTTGAAACTATGATAATCAGGGATATTAGCCTGTAGTTTTATTTATTGTAGTGTCTTTTCCTTGCTTTGGAAATAGGGACTTCCAAAATAAGCTTGGATATGTTTTTTCCTCTTTATTTTGTTGGAAATTTGAATAGAGATTCTAGGTTGTTTTTTAATGTTTGATAAAATTCAGTAGTGAAGCCATGAAGTTCTTGACTTTGATTTGAGATGTTTGAAAAATCACTGACTCAATCTCTTTACTCATTGGTCTGTTCAGATTTTTTTTTTCGAGATGGAGTCTCACTCTATTGCCCAGTCTGGAGTGCAGTGACTTGATTTCAACTTACTGCGACCTCTGCCTCCCAGTTCAATCCATTCTCTGGTCTCAGGCTCCTGAGTATTCGGAACTACAGGCAAGCATCACCATGTCCAGCTAATTTTTGTTTTTTTAGTGGAGACGAGGTTTCACCATGTTTGCCAGACTGATGTCAAACCCTTGATCTCAGGTGATCCACCGGCCATGGCCTCTCAAAGTGCTGGGATTACAGGAATGAACAACCATGCCCAGCCCAGATTTTTTATTTCTAAATGGTTCAGTTTTGATGGGTGGTATGTTTTTAAAAATTTATCTATTTATTTTAATTTATCCAATTTTTATGAAAGAAGTCTTTATTATACAAAAATACTTATGAATTGGCACAAAGATGAATTATTCAGTACATATTGAAAGGAAAACAACAACCAACCAAAGAGAATCTATGAATAGTTCAAAAAGGGATTAAATGATTTTGGAAAATGAAATAGAAAATAAAAGGAGGGAGTGAGAGTGGATAGGTGGCAGGAAAACAAGCAAGCAAGGATGAACTGTGTAAAACTTTCACTAATTAAAAGACTGTCATATTGAAGAGGTGCCTATTAGGCAGGCTTTTGATGTTAACCATGTAATATTCACCATGAACAACCTTGTAGAACACACAAGAGCCCGGTCAGAGAATCCACCTCCCACATTCAAGTCCCCTATCCAGTTGTGTTAGGGGCTGGGAACCCTCCCATGTTGTTCTCTGGCTCTGGCTCCTGGGGACACAGACAGCCAGTGTTTCCTCCCCGGATGAATAGAGAGGTCCCTGGGGAGGGAGTCTCTGGCAGCTCATTCAGCACCTGCGTTGTGGAGGGTTTTAGATGGGCTCAGTGCTGGTTTCTCTCACTGTGACTTTCGCACAGTAATACGTGGCGGAGTCCGAGGCCTTCAGGCTGCTCCACTGCAGGTAGGTGGTGCTGATGGACTTGTCGGCTGAGATGGTGACCTGGCCTTGGAAGGACGGGCTGTATCTGGTATCAGAATCACTGGGATCAATCATCCCCATCCACTCCAGGCCTTTCCCAGGCATCTGGCGCACCCAGCTGATCCAGTTGCTGGTAAAGCTGTATCCAGAAGTCTTACAGGAGATCCTCAGAGATTCCCCGGGCCTTTTCACCTCTGCTCCAGACTGCACCAGCTGCACCTCGGCACAGACTCCTGTGGGGGAGATACAAAATTTGAATTGGGGCTCCTTTCTCCCCATTCTTTTCTGTGACCTCAACCCCTGGGCAGAACTGACCTTGGAGAACAGCCAGGAGGAGGGCGAGGATGGCAGCTGACCCCATCGTGGTGGAGGACAGAAAATGAAGCAATGAGATCCCCAGCTGGACGGTGAGGGAGGCTGACTGTGGAGGGGAGCCCTGGGTTTAAGTGGGGAGGCCCCCACTTGGATTTGCATAGTTGTCACCCTGCCCTGAAGGGAAGAGTCTACAGGATTTATAACCCAGAACCTCAAATGCAGAAAAAGGTTGGCCTGAGCCTCCTGGGAGGGACAGAATAAGGTCTCAATAATTCCTTACACCCTGCTGTTGTCCCTCTCCACAATTTTCCATGTTTCTTCGAGACCCATCCCAGGGTCTCCCTTCTTCCACCCTTCTCTGTGACCCTGTGAAGGTGACAGATCTAGATGAAACTAGGTATGTTAAAAAATGAGAAATAGAGCCAGGAAAGGCCATGAAGAGAAAATTCAAATACATGTATATCTGATAACAGTAACTACCAAGAAAACTACTCTCTATTCCCTGGCAATTTCACATGAGTTGGACTATGGGCTGGGCACCAAGCAAGGGCAGGACCACTTCAGGCCTTCTACAGTCCTCAAGTTGATTAACTTGCCAGACCTTCACCCATGCAAAAATCACACAATTTTCCTGGCCATTTTGTCTTCTAGATTTCTGCATTCTGCCAATTCAACATGAATAGGGAATAGTTGTTTAGGTCTCTGAATTGCTGATGGACCTGAAGGGATCCCCATTGCTGCACCCAACTCCTGGTAGTGCTGTTTCAAGTCCTTTGTGTCAACCCCAGCACCTTCTTGTTTCTTTCATTCTTTATCTTTTATTTTATGACATCCACATTGCTTGGAGGAGGCCCTTAACTATCCCCTTTGTCTGCCCCATTTTCTTGTGAACCACTCTCACTTCATTAGCACCTAAAAGATCCAAAGGAGAAGCCAAGGCGACACAAACTACACAGGTTCTAAAGCTATACAGGATGTGGGATCCAGTGCACCAGGAAAGCTGTCTCATCAGGAACATCCTACTTGAGGTTGGGATCAGAGACAGCCGTCTGTCATGTGTCTGTTGTGAGCTGTGGGTCCAGCATCCTCCCAAACATTCTCCTCTCATCTGCAGCACAGGAAGCCGGAGACACTGCTGTGTCAGTCACTCTCACAGTCCATTGGCTAACGTTGTTCGCAATCCGATGATATCAATTAATGATATCAATCATATTACCAAATGATGCCACTTCCCATACTGTCTTCCTTGTTCTAGTTGTCTAGTGGATTCTCCCCACCAGCCCAACCCCTGGGCTACCTTCTGTGTGGCTGTTGTGTGTTGTGTGTTGTTTCTGGACAACTGTCCTCTTTGGTGGTGAATGGGAGTCTAGCAGCCTCGGCTCACAGAGCACAGTGCAGGGCTGGATGTGCATCTTTTTACTTTTATTTTTAGCTATCACAGATATGAATTGCATATTCGGATTGTTCATTATTTTTACTTTTCCTTATTCAGGGAACAACTCTTAGGAAGCTGTGTCTGTCATTTCTAAATTCCATGAATCACTTTCACTTC